GCATGGAAGGTCGCGTGCATAATATCTACGGTATCTTTGTCCCAAATTTAGGGGCTAGATCTCGGCTGATGAATCATGCAAAAAGCACTTTCCTGGTGTTTTGCGGAGCACAAAGGTTACACTCATCTGCGGTGTAACTGATTTTTTAGAGACGGAGTCTTGTTATGAAGTGAGGCAAAAACTGTACCACAGTGCAGGAGCTGATGGGAATTTGGTAACTTGGATGTTTGGGAGAATGGAGAATGCAAGTTCCCAAGTCAAATATACACTCAACTGGGTGACTGGGAATACTTCCATCAGCTGGCTAAAACATTCCAATAACAAAACGACATCACAGAAAAAGGGATTATCTCTTACTAGACAGCTGCACAACGCAGTCCAATAGTAACATTGTCAGTAGTGCAAAACTGATTTTTTCACCGCCCAAATCGTTATGGACTCTGTTCAGGTGATAAAATTGAAGTGTGGGAAAAGCTTGTTGTGCAATGATCGCTTCTGCTAACAGAATGGCCCGAAAGGAAGTGAATAATGGGGTTTTTATTAACATACGGCTAATTGTTCATTTGCTGGATGCAGAACGCTGGGTTCCTATGGCTTTGGGCTCTGTAGAGATCAACGGTTATGTTGTGTTCTAAAATGTGGATCTACTCTAGTATTCAGACATCTAAACAAGGAGTGCTCCATATGATATAGGTGAGAAAGATTGCGCCACATTTTCTATACTGTTGATAGCCGGATATACGGTGACCTCAAAGGCATATCACTGGGGACTCAAAAGGCGCAGACTACAGTATCACTACAGTGTATTGTTGTATGACTGCGACAAATGGCCACTTGATGTGGATGATCTGAGACATCTTCAGGTATTTGACAAATGATGTCTCACAACCATAGTTGGAATCGACTAGAATCAGCGAGTACTCACTTAGATCATCAGGGGACGGGCTTTTGGTGAAGCAGATCGCACTTCACTCAAAAACTGCACGGAGCACTGCAAGCTAATATGACCTGGTCATGTGCTACACTTGCCGAGACGAACGCTGTTTTGTTGTCTGATTCGGAGTAGAGAAGACCTAAAGGTTGACAGAAGTTGACACGGTAGAGGAGCATGCAGGATTTCACGAAAAGTTTGGGTAACGCTGTTCTACTCACCTTCCACCTCACCCTCCCTGTGCCTAGTTGGAGACTCTAAACGTTATGGAGGCTAACTGATGTCAGTGGCGTCCATGGTGTCAGTTATTATCAAGGCTATCTGACTGAGTGCTGGAGGTGTGGGCACCTCAGATATTTGTGACAAGCTAGCCTTGGACCCCCTTCCTTGCTCCATTTGTTTCGTCTTCATAAGACTTTATTCATATAAACCGACAAGGCTGCAAGGAAGTGCAGCAGTAATGTTCCGGCCTAGTTTTGCTGTCAGTAGTGGTGATTTGTATGATGACATTGTTGCCGTTTTATTGTTGCTGTTGATGATGATGATGATGATGATGATGATGATGATGATGAGGAGGAGGAGGAGGAGGAGGAGGCGGAAGAGGAGGATGGACATATACCTCCTTAATATATTAGACACGGAGAATTCAAGCATTGACTTATTTGGCATTGACTTGGCTCTGATTTCCCATGTAGCGATGATTTCCAGAAGGAAAGTGGGGACAGCTTCGATGGATGTGAAGAGGTCCGAGAATGAAAAATTATCTCAGTAAAAGAGTTACTTCAGTTAACCAGAAACCCGAGCTCCATCTCAGTGGAAAAGATAAACCAACTTGTTGACAAACAGTAATATGATAAAAATTGTCCAGCTGTAACACCGCACCTAGCTGCCATGCTACCTGAAGGAAGCACGAGGGCTGGGATACTTCCAGGTTGCCCAAGCCTAGACAGGGGAATTCGAGAGGCACGGGTCCGGTTCGAACCACGGACCTTCTGGTCAGTAAATTCGCGCTCTAATCACTTGAGCCATCTCGGCCCCCACCCGGGTGGAGTTGTGGTGGGGACCAGGTGGGCACGGGTCCGGAACCACGGACCTTCTGGTCAGTAAATTCGCGCTCTAATCACTTGAGCCATCTCGGCCCCCACCCGGGTGGAGTTGTGGTTGGTACCAGGTGGAATCTGTCGCCGGGTCTCCAGAAAAGACACAGTTCTATCAGAGATCCAATGCTTGGATGAGGTTGGCTGGGTTGTACCGCAAGCAGACGCTCCTGCTTTGAGAAGCGCCTTGGATATTTTTTCCCAGTGGCCGTTTATATCCGACACCGTACCGTCCGGCAGGCATTCGAGGAGCTGTTTCTGATAGTTTCGTTTGGTTTCTGGATCAACTAGCTTCTCAATGGCTAAGCGAGGTGTGCGCGATTTGCGTACACCTGAAAAGCGCAATGAAAAGCAGCAGCGTACAAGTGCATGGTCGGAGTCCACGCTGGTGTTCCAGAAGGAGCGGCAGGCGGTGATCGACCCTCGCCACCGATAACTGACGGCGATGTGGTCTATTTGGATTCGGCGCTCGTTTGATGGTGGGCACCACGTTGTCAAGCGATGTCCGCTGTTCCGGAAATTCGTACTGCAAAGGAACAGCCTGTGATCGGCACACATCTGAAGTAAGCGGTCTCCGTTGTCCGTGCGTCTAGTGTCCAAACCAAGACGACCACCCAATCGGGCCTCAGCAGCGCTTAGTCTACCTACCTGGGCGTTCATATCACCAGCAACCACAACGATATCTGAGCTTTTAGCCTGTTGTAGAAGGGCACCTAGAGCGTCATAGAAACTGTCCTTGGCAGATTCAGAGCTACAGTCAGTTGGGGCGTAAGCAGAAACAATAAACAAGGTGCGATGAACCTCACTTCCTCTAGATTCTCTCACCGATGTTGCCAAACGAACCGCACAGAGGCGACTGTCTACGGGTATCCAATCAAGCAGAGACGCTTCCGCTCGTTCGCTCAATACAATACCCACCCCAGCATATCCAGCTGCAGCGGCCTCTGCATCACCAGAAGTGGGCCGCCGGAACCTTGGGGAGAGCGAGGGGGCAGTCAGTTCGATCACAGCACTTGCGTCCTGCGTCCTTGTTTCTGACAAACAACATACATCAATACAGAGGGAATCCAGCGTACGCGCAAGAGCCACCTGTTGACCTGCTTGCTTCAGTGTGCGAACATTGAAAGTGGCTAAGTAGACAGGTTTTCGGGGTTTGAAAACAGACTTCGAAGTGTTTAGGGTTGTAACTGAACTCGGACGTGCAGAAGCTGCAGCTGAGTGTGATGCAGGGCGAGCAAAACGGTCAGACCTAGAGCTGGGACCTACGGAGAAAGTATTCGAATTTGGGTGGGGGAGTGTGGAAGACGGAAAACGTGAAAGTGTAAGAAGGGAGGCGTCACCAGTAGCATGTTTTCGCTTACCCGCCCTGCTGTATGCAGCAGGTAAGGCGAGCCGGCTGATGTCACCACGCGACGGCCGATGTGGCATGAGTTTATTTGTGTATGTGCAGTTCATGATTGTACGTGGGCTGGGTTACTGCCAGGGCGCCCACACCTAGACAGGAGGACGATTAGGGTCCTCAACCAAAGCCTTTGGCTCAAAAGCCTAAGCACAAGGTAGCGGTGTTCGGCTGGAAATGCAAGTACATTATCATTTTTTACGGAACACGTCGCCATACATGTTCCAACCCCCAACCTGGAGAGCCAGGAGACTGTGTTCGTCAGGCCTTTACCCATGGACCAACCTGGTATGAGACTCTGTGAGCATCGTGCGGACACTCCCCAGTATAACTCAATGGGTCGCCGAGGTACACACACCGCTACACCACGGTAAGGTCCAGTCTCTTAGTGACGGTCTGAAAAGGTCCGAGAATGAAAAATTATTTCAGTAAAAGAGTCACTTCAGTTAGCCAGAAGGCCAAGCTCCATCTCAGTGAAAAAGATAAATCAACTTTTTGACAAACAGTACATAGGTTCAGTATGATTTGGCTACGCCATCAAAGGATTTGAAAATTAAAAATCGATAACAAAACAAGCGGCATAAAATTGAATACACTTCTGAATACTGGAATCCCCTATCTAATGATGGACTGTTGGACAGCCCTACCCAAAGCGACCTTCCTAGAACAGCCGTTTCCCGTCTTTCTTAGAAGTGTCCGCTGCAGAGAAGGGACACTGTAGAAGCTACCTCAAAAGCATCGGAATAAGTAACCGGAAGTAATGCAACAGATGCCTTAGGCAGTTGGTGATAACAGAGCTCGAAATCGGCCTCCCAGATACGTGCTGAAAATCGATGACTGCTTACTGGTATCTCACAATTGGTCGTCCACTTGTGCAATAGCCAATTTTACTTAGGTAAAACAGAACACAGTATGTGAAAATCGGTAGAGTAAATGCTATACGTATAATGGCAACGGATAGATAGGCTGAGGGTAAGTCACACTGCATAGAGCAGGTGTCAGTTCAAATATTGACATTATTGAGCAACTCAAAAAACGAGAAATTTTTATAAGTTGCCATTCTGTGGCGGTGGGTGGCTACTTTACAGAGTGCGGGAGTGAATTATGCATCTATTGAAATTCAGCGACACCGTAGTGTGTAATCGTTTGTACAACTACCTTGAGTTTTTGCCTATTTCCCCATATTACTTATTAGAATTGAATCCTGCAACAATTTCGGCGCGAGACGCCAGACAGCTGAGAATGTCGGAAACAGGCTTAAGGCCCAAATTTGCTTCGTGCTCTCAGAGATCTCAAACCGATTTCTCAGCTGATTAGAGATAACCGTTCAGCTGTAACATCCCTTCGGTGCCTGGCTGCCATACCACCCGAAGGAAGCACGAGGGCTGGGATATTGCCGGGTTGCCCAAGCCTAGACAGGGGAAGTTGAGATGCAGATGTCGGGTCCGAGCCACACGCCTTCCCGTCGGTAAATCTGCGCTCTGAACACTGAGTGTGGAATACTCTAACGTCCACAAAAAAGCCAAATGTACACCGATACATTTCATTTTCTGAATAGATTACCCATTCGGGTCTAACCTTTGTTATGGCGGTATGAAACCACCGAGGTGAATGCACACTCACTTCTCCAAGTTCGATTTCTCAGGGCTTTTCGCAACATGCTTCCGTCGACCTTTCCCAGAATAGCAACTTTCTGAAAATTCAGTGGACCGTTGCATACCGACTAAATTTTCTTATAGCGGCTATTTTGGGCAGGATAGATGAAGGCGCACAGCAGAAGTCCTTATTTGATGTCGTCCGTAGAATTTATTGGGAGATCACGTTCGCATAAAAACATAAGTTTTTGGACAATGTATACGGATATGGACTCGCCACCGAACATAACGCGGCAAGTAATTGGCACAAAACATTCTAAGAGCCAATTATTTTATACTAAACCCTTGTCCGTTAACATACGAAACGGACTCGTGCTAAACGCACTGACTGAAGATGTCGATCTAAATTCCATAAGACTCTTGTCGAAGGACGTCGCCCCTGGGAACATTTTGGTTCCTCCCACAGGTATCCCTATAAATATGCTCGGATAAGAAGGACCTACAGTGAACATTTTGCGCAGCATTTTTGTGTGTTAACCACGGTGGCTGTGCGCAAAGTTCTGCAACCTGGACTGGACTCGTACGCCGGCTACCGGCGTTTGATGCCTGACGCCTCTTCTGGGTGCCCATGAATGAATCAGACATCTGTAATACAGAAGTCACCATTAACATCCTCTCCGACAAGAATCTTCCACTATAGTCATTTCATCGAATCGTTTGAGATTGATGAAGAATGACTCGAAGGTACATCTTTAGAAAGCACACTTTTCACCCAGCGTGAGCCGAATTGCGGTCGATAAGGAACACAATATAGGGTTGTCAGGGTGGCGAAGAGTCACCAGGTTCGTAGACGTCATAAAACTTCGTTAAGTGTATTTTCTTAAGATGGAATCACTCTTCAAATGAAGGGCGGTTTATCTTAGATCAGTGTGAATCTGACAGTGTCGTGGAAACGATAAATACAACTGAGTTTTTATTATCGAATTCACAGAATTCCGCATTACGGGATGCAGCAAATAGTCCCAAATGGGTCGTTTGTGTAACATTTATATGAGGAGGAGAGTGATGGGAACTGAGTTTTCGAACGGAAATATATGCGTGTCATATACCAGAAACGGTGCATCTGAACAGGCGAACATGTTCACGCTTGAGTAATGTGATAGATCGGCCCGACGGCTCGAACGACGACTCAGTAGCTGCCCCGGTTGTGCCGATAGATTTGACCCCCCCTATCAGCACTTCCGAGTCAGGTAGCCCCACAGAAGCTTGAAGTCTGCTGAACAATTTTTGAATCAGATGTAGGTAACTACGGGAATCGTAGAATTGCCTGGTCAACCAATCGCACCAATAAAGCGCGAATATGTTCGTCTGTTCAAACGTGAAGGTTTATATGCGTCCAGCGTGTGCTCGTGAGCTAGCGGTAACACGCTCGTTAGGTGTGCGGAGTCAAGACCAAAATAGTGTGAGGATAGGCCAAAATGAATAAACATGTGATGTTGCGTACACCTCGCCCCTTAGAACAAGTAGCCTGACAGCACTTCTGGTCGATGAATGGCAATGGATTCACGCCTGACAGGGATCGATACCGACGAAGAGAAACATTTTACACCCAAAGTGCAGTCAACTCACGCAAAGCACGTGATGTTTGATTCAAGGAAGGCAGAAAAACGGTTAGTTTACGTACTAAAAAGGTTGATATTAAACGGATCAGTTAACAAGAACACCGTCTTTTCTAGGCACTGTTCACAATCCGCCATATTTGGTGTGGATCCAGATGTAGAACGTTAATAAATATGTCTAGATTTCGGACTATTTTCAAAGAGTTTCTTGGGCTGGGCATAAATATAAAAAACAAACATCCTAGAAGAATCTCATCTGTCTATTGATTCGCCGGTCAGTGAGTGTATCAAGTTTAATACTAATAAACAATTCAACCATCCTGAGGTCCCATTTGACCATTAGACCTACAAGTATATAGGCTAAACTTCCAGAAGATACTTTGTGAAAGTATGAAATAACTTATTCCCCATGTGTATTCTGCACGCAATCCTCGTAAAGACCTTTTATTTTGAACAGTCCACGCCTCCCAAGACACAGCAAAATGCCAAATCTTAGAGTAATTGGTCTCTCAAGATTAGTAGGACTGTAGGGCGAAAATGCAAAATCCTTATGATGTCAACGGTCGTAGTCACTGAGAATTGATCTTGTTTTCCAGGAAATACACCCACCTCACTCTTTTATCAACCAAAACAAAGCCTTCCTATACATTTCTGGTTGAAATCTCACTGAATAAAGCTCTATGGGACTGGTATTGCAGCATGAAAGCAACCAATTCCTCAGCAGAATGGAGTAAAAGTAAACCGTGGTGCCTGGGACGACTTTCGATTTGTCCATTGGCTAATGGAATGTTTATGTGGACCAAAATGTGACTCATCTGAACTCTGTCACTCCACAAAAGAATAGAGGAAGCGGTTGTATCGTTTCCAATAAGCGGCACTATCATTTAATCTGGAGAACTAGTTAGACATCAGAGGTGAATGCATACAAGGCCTACGAAACCGTTGCTGGTAGCACATTCTGCAGTTTGGTTAACGGAAAATGGAAATCTGCTTCACTTAATGCTTTCGTATAGACGACATCATCTTATTTGAGTGAAGGTGTAAATTTTTTTGAACATTTATTGCCGAATATTTTTCGGGTTCGGTTCCATGGTGTAAAAAAATACCCCAACTTTTTAACAGGTCAGAGTTCTGTCTAACGCCCAAATGATTGTATGAACTAGGCTAATTAGAGCACACAGTTGTTTTGGAAACACGTAATCACACTGCATTACTCTGAAAGACAGATCTGACGGCTTAGTGATAACCACCCGACAAGAACGGAAATTTAGAATAGGAATCTAGCAAAATACACTCATTTGCATACCAATTTCATTTTGACGGGAGACTCACCTGGAACCCAACTGATTCTCTCGTTTTGTGTACAACTAGGACATGAGGTTAAAGGAAACTGAGACTGCGCCTACCTGATGATCCCCAAGAAGCGAAACCAGTCGTGGCATCGAATAGCTTCCAGCAACCATATGAGTAGCGTATTATGTCCATACAAAATAAGAACTAATATGTGCACACAAAGCGATGCTTGACAAGCCGAAACAAGTTTTCTAATGGTGATACGATAGCACTTTGAGCTAAAAGTTAACAACCAACAAGGTTTTTTAATAATGGCCACCTGACAACCCTTGTTGGGGGAAAGTAGTGTACTGAGGTCTTACAAGCTCATTGGTGCAGCATACCGATTCATACCAGAGTGAACTTTTGCTGATAATTTCCGTTGTGAATCCTTATACCTTGCGAACACCGTATAGTTAGAAGCAACCCAACTATAAGTCGATGTATCAAGCTTGGTCAATTTTAACCCACTGTATTGTCCATGCTCAATGAAGTCTCCAACTGCAGAAGGCTGGATTTAATTCCTCACTTGTGATGACCTCCTGCAGGGAGCCGTGTCATCCTCTACTAAACCCTATCATTCAAGTTATGACCAGCCTCTTACAAAAACTGCGCCTCCTCATAGGTTGTTCTACTGGATCCCTGCAGCTCATTATACATTATAAAGGCAGCCTTTTCATTTGTTGTTTTCTGCCACCATTGAATAGAACCGCAGATATTAAGCAATATATTCTGACCAGTCAAAGACCTCAACGGCTATTGCGAAACATCGACTTCAGGCCGTCATTTGGGAGCTGCCAAGAATCTTGGGACAAACTTCTTAGGAAGTAATATTCACTGCATAAAAACGAGCTCAATCTAGATAACTATTAACTCTTTTACTGCTTTGCTGGTAGCCTAGCCCTCGTCCTTGCTTTCAGTCGTATGAAATCTGCACCGGAACGGTGCAACATCTGAATGACTGTTTTGCTTTATTATCCCTCTTTAGTAGGACGGTAGGAGGATCTAAATTACATAGGCTTCAAATTCAAACACCTAAGGCGTTCGACATTTAGGAGCCAAAGGCAGAATGGAAAAGCTGCCAGCGTTAGTAATGGTACAAAAGGAGGCCGGCATTATTTCACGCCCCTTTCATAGGAAACAATGAGAGACTGAGAAAAGTGGCGTAAAATTCACCCACATTGATATGGATCCCCACATCGATCTGCACTTGCTGTGTTCAGCTACCTGATATGCAATTTGAGTAGATGGGTCCAAAACGAAGCAAGCACAGTAAGCGATGATCGCATACTAGTTTTGCTGACAGAAGTACGCGTATTCCACCGTTTAGCATAAAAACTCACAACAGGCCACCATTCTCTAATAAGAGGAGATATTTTCGTTCATCGAACGATTGAGCTCTCGAATTCCGTTAACAAGTGGAGTCCAGCTAGAATTTATTATTCGGTAGTACCAATTTCAGTGTTTCGGGACACTGAGTGCTATACAGTAGGGGTTGTGGATTTCTTCGCCAACTTGGACGACTAGGTTGCAATATACACTTCAGTGGTAAGCATTTAGACGTTGCGATCCTGATTATTAATATCCATCAACGGAGGATGGTGAGTGAAATCACTTCATAGTTGTTCTTCTGATGTGCATTACCGTGGCTCCACTGCTTTCATCCACGCGTAAGTTGACCTCACCCGTGCAGACGTGGACAAGTCGGCCTTGCCATGTGAAACGAATGTGACGGGGATGGTAGTAGCCTGTCACCATCCCTGGTGCACGTATGGCATCGAGATCAGCTGACGCACCGCGAAATTAAGTGATACATCCTAAAGAAAACCAAAAGCGAACTGCGCATTGGTCGTTTCATTGTCATAATGGAACCAAAGCGCGGTGGGGAGAATGTGGCTCTCTGTGACGTGACATAAATTTGCAGGAGTACCACCGATGTCCAGCGCGTTATCACTTCTTCACTGAGGCTACATATGAAACAATTTTGTTGTTTACATTTGTTGTATCGTGGGCGGCCGTCTATCGGTCACGCTCGAACTGAGCCTACCAAACCACGCGATAAGAAGACAGAGAACCCAGGACAAGGACAAACACACGAGGCTTCTGTGTAAATATATGGGATGACTAAAGGGCCAAATATGGTCGTTCGATTGTTTGTTCTGTAGAGCCAATGGCGACGTTCCTGCCGTGAACAGCTTCAGACCCACTCCGCTGGTTGCGTGCTGCTAAGCCGTGTTTGTTATGTTCCGCCAAACGCATTCGCAATCCGGAAGGTGTAGGGGCGATGGTGACCTTGGGGACGCTTCGTTCCTGAACATGTATTTTTTCATGTCAGGACATGTCTTGGCAACATTTGGTTGCGCCAGAATTTATCACACATTTTCCATAAGTTTAACTTTACGGAATCGGAAACACCTGCTAGTCAGATAACTACAAATAATTGCTATTAGTCGTTTCTTGGTATGTCTTGTAATGTCACATTTTTTTCTGCGTATGTAAAACTTTTTCAAGAGATCTGACTAGACGCTGCAGTACGCCGGGTATGCATACCACTATTTTCAGAGGCAATTTAATTCCAAACACAATATCGCCCACCTGATCTCCATATGATGAGAGTTCTTTCTACCCCATATAGTTCATCCCATGCATTTCCACATGCTCATTTTCGTGTATGTGCCATCGGCTCAAATCGATTCATGTAGCAAACCAGGTACATTAGTTAGGCAGTTGTGAGTCCTGACATTTGTCAAATCGCCAAGCGGCCACCATGTCACCTGGATCGAAACGGAGCCATGACAACACGTGGCAACGCCACAAGATTCCGAACGAAGCCAGTGAGAAAGTCCTCGCTTACTAACCTTTGCTGAGCCGATGTACATGAATTTCGCCAACCTAACAATTCCGACGTTCCACGTGTAAGTCGCCCGTCATTCTCCTTCTGAGGGAGGTTTCATTCGTGCTGAGATCAAAAAATTACCGTCAGGGTCCCCGTGACGAGCTCAAGTTATCGTACGAGCCAAAGAAATGCAAAAGGAATGTGGTTGTGGATTGAATCCAAATGTCGAAGACTCCGATCACTGGAAGACCTTCCACGACTAACCACTTTACCCACTCATGTTCATAGATTACTGACATTGGATACCCCATTGCCAGGAGATAAGGCCGCACCTTCAGCATAAAACAGAGTACATTCACTTCTGAAGATGATCAGGGATCTACTGAAAGCTTTGAAAACCGACCTAGAAAAAATGCATTGTTCTATTAAATGAAAAGTGAAATAATTGAGGGTTGTCTGCGTGAATTAATGCTGAAACGGATGAATCCGAAGAAGTACCAACCGAGTGTTTCAACCAGAACAAAAGACTAGTCATCACTGAGGGAAGATTTTTCACTGGTAAGAGAGCGCACAAAGTCATCCAGGCCATGAGAGGAAGTCGCACTTCAGCGATCATTTTTAACTTTCAGCCACCAACTGGTCGACGACTGACGCCTCCCTGGATGGGGATCCCAAGATTCAACTCACCAGTAGTTAATGACACTGGCAGAAATGGCCGGATCGCACAGTCATTGGCGTTCGTGCATCAAAGGTATCGACTTCAATGCGTAGCTACCCAAATCCCAAAGTAAACATGCTATCGCCTCCAAGATTTGGCCGTATCACCCGCATTCTCACACTTTCCGGTGAGGAAACTGTAGCGGCTGGAACCAATGTGCCTGCGCGGTTTATAGCTGATTGATTGATGTTAACCATCAACGTTCGATAGATTGATAATACAGAGGAGAAACAAATAACAAGCAACGTAGCTGAAGTGCCTTCACAGTCACCAGAAAGTGTAGCATGTCGGGAGGGAGAATGGTACCACCGACGCTCTCTCTCTCTCTATCCTGCTTGATTTCTAGGTCCACAAAGTTCTTGGTGGCTAAGCGAGATGTGTGCGTTTTGCGCAAACATGACAAGCGCAATGAAAACCAGCAGCAGAGAAATGCGTGATCGGAGTCCATTTGGGTGTTTCAAAAGGAGCAGCAAAGAGTGATTGAACTTGGCCACTAGTAACTGATGACAATGTGGCCTATTTTGGGTTCGGGAGTGGTTCATTGGTGAATATCACGTAGTCAGACGATTTCCACTGTTCCAGAAGTTGTTACCTCACAGGAACAGCCTGCGTTCAGCATGTCTGTGACACACGTTCTCGGTCGTTCGTGCGACTCATGTCAAATCCAAGGAGATCACTCATTTGGGCTTCAGTAGCATCAAACCATCCACATGAACGTTCAAGGTAACCACGAACACCGCTGCTTCGGGTTTTACACCGTTTTGAAACAGCACCTAGTATTTCATAAATTGTCCTGGGTACAGTCCTGGCTACAGTCTGATAAACCGTAAGCTCATGCAGTAAACAGGTGGCGACGTACCTTTCTTTCTCGAAATTCTTCACAGCCTGTGCCAAACAAACGATGCAGTGGACAACATCAGTGTACAAGCACATGAGCTCAGTTTCACTTGGCGTCTGATAACTTGCCGAACTGAATTATGTTCGGTACTGGGCGGAACACTTCCCCAGGATTCGCATAGTATCAGTAGTAAGCAAGCTGCCGCAGGAGGTACTTTCGGCACTGTGTAGGGACAATCTCATCGCAGTGCCAAGTAACATCCACCAGCAGAGAAGCTGGAAGAACCCAGATGGTTCAGGTAAATTTGGCTTGTGAGCCGTCCAGTTGCCAAGCAAGCAGTTCGCCTCGCACGCGACCCTGGAAAGCAAACGGAGGAATAGAAATGTTCCAAGAGGCGATATATGGATACTAATTCGCGCAATCGGTAACTGATAGCGCTATAATCATGCTGTTGGAGGGCGCTGTGTAGGCGGGCAATTTCGGTTATTCCAGGCTTTAGTGTCGCATAAAACAGTGTGAGGTTGTCACTAGATGAGCTTTCCAGGACCCCCGTTCTTGGTAAGGAAACATTGTGAGATATGACTCCTGCCCAATGTCGGTGTCGCTTGTGCTATCCGTTTCCGTTCAGATCGTCTTACTGAATAAGTGTAGGTACAGGCACCTAAAAATAACTGGATGGGGTGAACTCGCTTAACTTCAGCTGCAAAAGTATTCAGTGTTCAACTACCTTCACCTAAGATTGTGTGGCGACACAATTCTCTTCGTCTCCCAAACGTGCATAACCTTGATGTCTAAACACTTGCCTGTTACCCTTTCTGATATAAAGTTCAGCCTGGTCCATCGTAAAATCCTCACGATCGCCAAATAGTAAGGGGTTATCTTTGTCGAACGGAAGTTGTCGACACAATTCAGTCCCAAACGGCAGCAAACCTCTGCGTTCTCGGTTATGTTAACGTCCATCAGTTGCAGTGGCTACCCTATTCCTTTCATATGTATCGTGCACGTTGGGACAGAGATCCTTTCTACTATCAATTTCCTCACACAGCTTGCTTCCCTCGTAAGACGAGTCTCTGAAGGAGACGGCACGCTTCTCAAGCCATAGACCGATTCATAACGACATGCTTTTTGGTAACTTCGTTCTTTCTTCTTGGCCCCTACTATCACACGTATCCGTCCAGTTCAGTCCAGAAAACTTACCGCAAGGCCAATGTCTTTTTACCGACAATTCTGCTCCCTGGTAGTTTGCCGAACATCCACGAATACACCGTTCGTTGGACGACCCTTCAATTCTTTATAGGTTACGAATGTTCACTCAGTTCAAGTCAAGCAAACAATAATCTCCCGAACGGTTTAACTACGCATGTTTCTGTGCGACAAAGAGCACAATGCACAAACGATGGTTGGCACATATTTATTCCTTAATGTGCCGCCCACAGCTCCTGTTGAACTGCAATCAAGAGACGAGGAATTTATGGACAGGAATGAAGATTAACTAACGGGCTCAGTATTAGTGCACAGGTGGCGATAGCCATAGACGAGGAATGGACAGGAATGAAGATTAACTAACGGGCTCAGTATTAGTGCACAGGTGGCGATAGCCATAATACAAATCAGAAGGTGAATGAATGCTAACAAAAGCTTTTAGTATTTCTGCGACACGTATAAAAATGAATACAATGCGTAATGGGAGCAAGTCAATAAAGGAACTTATCGTATGTGAGAGTCCCTTGGTGAAAGTCCGGACGGCGGTAACGTGTTTTCTCCGCAGTTTGGCTGCTACACGTGTTCCATGATTGTCCGTGGACTTGTGGAGAGGTTGACGTCCTGCTCCCTGCGCGCGCGCGAGTCTGTGCGTGTTGACTGTGTTGTCGCTTCCTATATATAGGAAAGTTTGATGTGTGTATAAAATATGAATCGTTCCGTGCGTACTAAACAGGAACTGACTTGTAGTCGGTCAAGGTTGCGAGTGGAACGGCGTTTGTCACGTGACTTGTGTGCTTGTGTAGCAGGTAAGTCGTGGGATCTAGTAAACACCCATGTACTGGACAAATTAGGTGAAGCTGGTTGAGGGGACATGGAAATGTCCGCTACATCAGTAGCTGGGAGTCGATCGTCCCTGAGTCTGGTTAAGGATATCAGCCATAACTCATTCTTCTTGTAACTTCCTTCAGTATTTGACTCTCATAGAAACCCCACGTCATACCCAAGTGGAAAGCCAGAAGTTTTCACTCAACTCTCCTACCAACCCTACCTTACACCTCTCTCACCAACCTCATTTCGATTGCCTGTGCTTGCCATAAAGAACACTGGCTGTACAACTAAGGACCATCCACTCCCGATGGTTCCTTCAGTCTTTTTTCAAGTACGTACTGTAAATCTTGTCCTGATCACCCGAGAATTTTTGGGTTCCCATGCCATTAGGCGTTCCTTTGTCGTCCTGGAAGCACTGGCAGGTCCCCGCTGTTGAAAGTGGTTTCCAATGCCACCTCAGTAATTACTAACCAACTTTCATTGCTCTTATTCTATGTAGAGTTCTGCAGTCCATTTTTTTCAAGCAATTCGTGTACCATTTGGAAGACCGTGACCTAGCGACCCACGTCCAATCACCCCTACCAAGTTTCGATTTCCCATTGTAGGTTGGCTGCTTTGTTCTTCAGCTCGTCTCAATAATTCCCCATCAGATTGCGCGAAACCAAACTCCTACAACCCTTCACAGCCCACTCAATTGGCATCTCAAACCACCACAACATTTAGCCTTCCAAGGGGGCTCCGACCAATAGTACCTCTACTTCAGCAATCTCTGGAGTGAAAAACAAAACATTTCTTGCCCAACTTCATCGGAACCTGTGAAGAACCATATCAAATACAACCAGCCTTGTTCCTAACAAGGAATTCATACTTTTCATATGTTTACTCCGGAATTTGTTCGCTACGCATTTGTCACCCTATTCCACTCACGTCAGCACTTCATAAATCCACCCGTTATAGACTACGGATAATACTGTTTCAACAAGAAGGATAATCAAGGGTAAGCAGACCACCTTGAAAGTTAGCCTCCTAATTATTTTAATCGAGGTGCGTGTGATCGACTTTTTTACCACCACATTCTTATTTCTTTGAATCTCGCTTGGGAGCAAACTTCATTGTCTCTGAAACCCCACCTACTTGTGACTACTGGGCAACTATCACGTACCGTTGCCTGCCTGCCAGAATACTGATGGACCTTTTCTGGATACTACCGTGAAGCGATGTTTGTTAGAACTCGATGAAGTCTTCAACAAGTGGAATTCTTCGGTCTGTGTAGACATTCGGATATGGGATAAGGTTGACGAGAACACGGATAAAAATACTGCTTCACATACGAAAAGTGTCATAATTGGCTAAGTCACCCAGATAGAAACTGATATCATTTAGTCGCCATATCATCCAGTTTCTCCAGGCAGACACAGGGAAGGTGAGGTGGAAAGTGAAGAGCAACGAAACTTCACGTAACACATTTCATGACCTTCTGCCTTGTCAAATACTGTGCACCTCTACGTTTCCCCACCCCAAATCAGACATGAAAAACGATACTCGTCTGGACAGGCGTGATAGATGGCCCGGTCACCTTAACCTGCAGTGCTGGATACAGACTTTGAGTGAGGTGCCGTTGAGCTATACTGGGTGGGCGGTGTCCCTGCGACACTCACGGTCTCTTATACCAGGTTGTTCAAAAGTTAGAGGTCCTCATGGTTGGGGACTGGAACATGTGGCGACTTGTAGAAAAGGTAAGGTATTTGCATTTCCCACCAAACATCGCTGCCCTTCGGTTAGGTTTTTGAGCCAAAGGGTTTGGTTGAGGACCATAATCGTCCTCCTGTCTAGGTATGGGCATCCTGACAGTATCAAAGCTCATGTGCAAACACAATACCTAGGTCTAACAATAAACTGATGCCACAGCGGCCTTCGCGTGATGCCATCAACAGGGTCGCCCTACTCGCCACATATAACAGGCTACTGATAACGCCCCCCTTCGTTTTCTTTTCACACTTCTTCCCCCTCACCAACCCCATTAATACCTTTCTCCTTGTAGGCCCCCAGTTAGGATTGACGACTCCTTGGTGTTGCATCGGCTTTTCAAGCAACAGCTGTTCTTCACACGGCGCCAACACCCTCAGGTATATATAAATCAACCTTCAAGCCTCGACACCCATTCTACCTGATCGCCTTTAATGTCCGCACCCTGACGCTCTCACATTGGACTCGCTTGGTATTGATGTATGCTGTCTCAGAAACAAGAATTCGAGATACAAGCACAGTGGTTGAGCTAACGCCCCATCACTCTCCACTCGCTTCCGGCTACGTACCTCTGGTGATCCAGGGTTTGCTGCGGCCGGATGTGCAGGCGCTAGTATCGTTCTAAGTCACCAGGCAGAAGGATCCTTGCTTGACTAAATACTCGCTCCTGAGTGGTTCGTCTGGCAACGTCTGAGAAAGAGTTTCAGAAGCAGGAATTCGATCAATGTCTGTTTATTGTGTCTGCCTACACCCCAACTGACTGCAGCTCTGGTTCCGCCAAATAGAGGTTTTACAATACCTTCTGTGGTGAGCTAAAAGCTCAGATATCGTGA